GCGCAAGAAAGGTATGTGGTTTGAGCTCAAACAGCCCCATCCGAACAAAACAGCTCTCAAAAAAAAAGACATAGTGGAGCGACAAGATTCCATCTGCATTAGGTTCAGTTTTATTAAATAATTTCTTCGCGTACTTCGTTTTGAAAGGCAGCACAGCGCGAAATTGAGAAGTTGTCGATGAAATGTGGCGGAATTCTGATCTCGTGGCATAAACTGTTTCCATCGAATTGCCAGAAAATGGTGTAAAAGCAACTACTTCGCAACAATTTCAGCGTGTTGAGGTGGGGATTTTGATGTACGGATGAGGAGAACGGCAGTGCGGATGAGAAGACGTGCTTGAGAGAAGCTGACATATGAACGAACAGTAATTACTAGCATTATGATGTAATTAAGAAACTAATATTAAAATGCAGCAGTGTGGAGAATAAATTCGTAGGTGCCATAAATAAGCTGGAAGGCACTAGGAATTAAGCGTGCGAGCCGTAAAGCATAAATGCATATATGATGTGACAGTGATAACAAAGATAAGCCAGGCGCTAGGCAGCACCAAAATGCCCAACTCAGACAGTAGCTACCCTTCAAATATAGGCTGCCGCAAAGAAATTCTTTCACAGAAATAGTAAAAAAAGAAATATTTCCATAGTGATAAGAGTGCTTGCAACCTTCACCGTTTGATTAGTTTAGCTTCTTATATGCAAGAAGTTATAGCATCAGCGAAAGTGCTGGCAGCGAAACAGAAAAAAGCGCTTTGTAAAAATCATAATGAAAAATAACTTGTTGTTAAGTGCACTTAGCTAGACTTAAACCAGCTGCCAAAGATGGTTTTTTGCTTCTTCTTTTCTATTCTATTCACTGCTTTGTGGGCCCTTTTCTCCTTTTTACGTGAAAGATGTTTTCGCTTGCGTTTTGCATTCCCAACGTTCAGCACTGTTCGAGTTTCCAGCGGTCCAGCTTTCGTCTTCGCATGGCACTTGTAGATACCACCGTTATCTTCACGAACATTAACAAATAGTAAGCGATTACCAGTAACCTGGAATATCCATAAATCCTAAAATGTTATTTTTCCACAAACGACCGCAGAATGGGTTCACGATAGCACAGTGGCGGCCTTCCTGAAGAGGTTGTTTGTGTGCCCGCAACGATGCCGGCCTGTAATGCCAAAATGCCCCACAGTGGTAACATGCTAAAGCAGCGCCTGGGCAAAGACTAAGTACGTTAGACCTTTTTTCATATTTCTTAATAATGCAGTAGATTTTATTTAATATACAGTCATATCCCTTTTCGATGATTGTAGATGAGCTTTTAACAACCCGCAGGGTTTTTGTAAGCTGTTTGAGAAGGGCTGGCATATTAAATGATTCAAGCGGAACAAGATTTTACGCAGCCATGTAGGGCCAGCTGTGGGAGGGCCTGAAAGTCAACAAAAAGCATTGCTGCTTCTCGTAAAAAAAAACCGATGAAATGCATGGATAACTCATATTTCGACTTTTGAAAATCTGGACTCATGAAGACTTATTTCTTGAGCTGTTTAGAATGAAATCAACTGAAACCTGCGCATTTTCCGGTAGCTCGTCTTCACCTTCTTTGGTCCAGGTTATCTCTGCGTCTGGATCACCTGTTACTTTGCAGTCAAACCAGGCTCTATCACCCAGCGCTATTGATTCGGATGACGATTCCAACAGCACTTGTATTATTGTATCCGGCACTGAAAAACACATTTCACATTTCAACTGGAAAATATTGTGGAGGACAATGAAAATGACAGTAGCAACTGACGTATCAGGTGGTGAATGCGCGTAACGAACTCAGGGAATCGATAAAGGCAAAGGTGAAGACGCAGCTGGTATATCAAATGATTCAAGCAGAACAAGGTTTTACGCAGTGATGTAAAGCTAGCTGTGGCAGAATTTAAAAGTCAACAAAAAAACATCGGTTTAGCATTCAAGTCGA